TACCTGTCCTCTTTCATCAAACAGTCATAACAGCTATATCCATCAGAAATCATAAAATGAGGTAAGAAAACCCTACAACCCTTAAATGTTAGCTTCAGATGCTAACATAATTAGCTAAATCAAGATCCACCTGACAGGTTCTGGTTAAAACACCGTCCCCACAGTGAAGCATGGCGGTGGCAGCATCATGATGTGGGAAAGCTGGTCAGAGCTGAAGGAAGGAAAACTGCAGCAACATCTGGAGAAAGTCTTGGTTGAGTCTTCCAGATGTTTGAGACGTCTGTCCTTTTCAGTCCATTTCTGTCTACTTCCTGTTGGTAGTCAGGGAGCGACAGACAGAAGTGTGTGGTTACTAAGGTGACCACAGTGAGCCACTGGCTCAGCTTTGATGTAAACAGAGTTCTGTTGGATTTTCTGGTCTGTGTTTCCTCCGACCGACCTGTTGGTCCTCGCAGGTGGAGCGTTACAGCTGACTCAGCGTTTTCAGCCTCTGTAATGACACAGTTTGTCCGCTCACAGGGTGTGTGGTTGGCCCCGGCCTACTTCCTGGAGTTTGAAGGCTACAACACGTTCACTCTGATCTGGCTGGCTGGGCTGGTGTTCCTGACGGTCAACTGCTTCATCCTGATTCAGATTATAACTCATTACAAACCCAGAGGAACGGCCCGGAGGCTGAAGGCTGAGTGACTGCTGCTGGAGCAGTTTTTAAATATCAGGAAAATCCTCACTTGGATCATCAGTTAAGCCTCTGGATTAAAGGTTCACGTCGAYGCAGGGTGGCTGGATTACAGAGCGACCAGTAGGTGGCAGCGTTTCCTAACAGGAGAAGGATTGAGCATCAGTGTGTGTGAACTCTCAGATTAATCAACTGGAGCATGAATCTGACCCAAACCATCCCTGCAGCGCTTCCCTAATCTCACCCTCCTGTTTCTGTATAATCTCACACAAAAACCCTTTGGGTCCTGGAGGTTCTGGACCCGTTTCATGGTCCAGGATATATATATTTAAATATTTATATTTAAATATTTAAAAGACTCTCKGCGGTCGGGGTTGAATTATTGAGACGTTTATCCAAACGGCGTGTTTTTTTTTTTCTCCGTATGTTTGTCCATGTTGGGCTGACTCACGATCAGCTGTGGCCTGGATATCCAGTTCATGAATCACAGAGCTGCACTCGCTAACCTTTCAGCTGTTTTTTTTTTTTTTTTCTTTTCTGCCCCTGGGTCAAAACAAAGCAATTTATTTCAACTGTACATTCCAGCCAACACCACCACATTCAGATGTTTACTTTCAAAAGGTTTGAATCTCTTTTCTTCATATTCTGATGATTTATTTCCCCCAGAAAAAAAAAAATTAAACCAAAAGACTAGAAGCAGAATGTGTAAATTATGTGTAAAATATTTAAAGAGAAATAGTAAAAATAAAATATACGAAACAGAATAAAATATTTACAGTGTGTCGGGTGGACTGAGAGGAAATCGTTGCTTAAACACAAACTCAGATGGACCTCTGACACGACTCAAACCTCCGTTTGATGAAGGTTCAAGCAGCTTAAGTTAATGAGCATTAAGTGGAGGAGATCTGTTGTCCTTCTTTAGCTAATTGTGCTCAGGAAGAAGCTGTTGAGGTTGAGCTTCATTACATTTTACTGACTTCATAAATAAACAACTCTTATTCCCATTGATCATTATTCTTCTGTTTCTGGACTCCAGTTTCATCCAGTCACTGAGGAGATTTATAAAGACTTRGCAGATAATTTTCAARTTTAAACAGGTCACAGAAAGTTGAACTTTACAGAACTGAACTGGTGTTTTTGAAATCTTAAATAGTTTTTACACWATCAGTTAAATCTTGTCTTTTATCACTCTGTCTGTCACCAAAACCCAGATTCACATTGATTTCCCCTGTTTCTGAGATTATTTTCTCACTACAATATTGGAAATAAAAGTACGGTGTAGTATTCAGGCCACAGAACGAGATTATTATCTTTTTATTACGAGACTAAATCGYAATATTACGACATYAAAGTCATGACATTATGAGATTATAGTCGTGTGAGAGTATTATGACTTTTCTCATACTATTACGACATTAATCTCATATTATTACGACTTTATTCACGTAATATTGTGATGTTATTTTTCATAAAAAAATCTTATTCTCCTAATATTAGGACTTTTTTCCTCATATTACAGTATTAATCTCATAATATTATGACTCCTCGTAATTTAAAAAATAAATCTGTTTTGTGTGGCCCTAATACTCCATTGTAAAAATGCTCCTCTAACTTGCAGATAAAATAAAACTGTTATTTTATTTTTTTTTAAATATTGCAAATATTTGAGACTCAATTTCTAGTTTGCGTTTCTTCCTGTTTGAAATGTTGCTGTGTTCCCGCCTTCCATGGHGGAAATCACCATGTAACCTGCCACACAACATATATTTTAGATTACGATAAAAGTCACAAATGTGAGATTTAAGTCAGAATTCTCATTTTAATTTCAGAATTCAGGAAATAGTTCATTCTTATTTTAATCCCAGAATAACAGAATCCTGATCTTAAAGTCATAATTTTACACAACAACCCCGCCCCCATCCAGAATTCTGACTTTGTTCGTAATTTTTCTTTACTTATTTTTCTTTTTTCATGGTGGCACTAATCGTCCTCCACACATTTGGTTTTTAGAGAATAAAGTTGATTTATGGGAGAAAGCTGATGTTATTTTTGGAGTTTTTCTCCTTTGTTTTCACTCGTCTCCTCCTCCCTCTCTGTTTATTCTCACCCTCTGCTYGTGCAGTTAGCGTGACAGAAGATCGCATGCAAACGAGCAAATATTAAACATTTAAAGTGGGGATCATCATCGTTGTTGTCGCCGCTCCCACCTGTCTGGGTGTCGCAGCATGACTCGGTTGTTTGTCCTCATAAAGACAGCTGTGCGTGATGTGATGTGCAGGTTAAACAGACTGCTGCTGATGGGATTCACATGAGCTGCTGCATGTCGGCTCACAGGAAAAGACKTCTCTATTGTTACAGCACAACTTCAAAAGATCTTCATCTTCTGCTTTTCCAGTTAAAACTCAGAGTCCAGAGTTTCAGGACGCAGCAGAAGACAATGATGTTTTTCTGTCTGTAAGACAGAAGAAGTTCCTGCTAACCTTTTTATTCACTCAATCAGAGGAAAGAGTGAAAAAAATCTATTCAATTTTAACTGTTTCCTGCAACAGAACACTCAAAACTTATATACTTTTCAAAAAATAATCTGTTTAGTATTTTTTTTCTATTGAAATACATTAAAATTTCTTTGATTCTTTCAAAAATGTATTAAAAGCTAACTTTATTGTGCTACTTTTATCTTTTATCTAGCTTTTTGCAAGTTTTAAGTTTTAATTTTTAGTCAACCTTTTGCTGGTATTATACAGTAGCTACCGTTCTGCTACTTTTTAAATTACAATTTTACTACTTTTAGCTAGTTTTTTATACTTTAGGCTAGCATTTTCATACATTTAGCTAGACTTTTGCTACTTTTTTGCTATTTAGCTAACATATCAAAAGCATGGCTTTTGYCTTAATGTAGTGCAAGACTAGCAGTTAGGAAGTTTAAAAAAAGCAAATCGGTAGCTTAAAGCTATAAGTAGTAAAAGCTAAAACAGTTAAAAGGTACCTGTGCTAAAATGCTAAAATAGCAAAAGGCTAACTAACAGCTAAAGAATCAAAGGGTWGTTAAAATAGCAAAAGRCTAGCTAAGCTTCTAGCTACWCCATTGATATTTTTAAAGTTGAAAAGCTAGCAAAAATTAGTAAAAGGTCACTAAAAGCTAAAAGTAGCRGAATGTTAGCTATAAACTAAAAGTACCATAAAATTGGAACTTTTTTTTAAATTGACGTATAAAAGTTACRAAAACCAAACATCATAGCACCCATCTCCTGAATGAGCTGAATGTTTTGATTTATACACGATCAAAAAGCACAAMGTGTGCAGAAGWAGACTGTAAAACRYGTATGWAAAATAAWWWWAAAAAACAGGTAAACATTAATTTACACACTGACTCCTCATCCTCACAATAAGAGCCCTGGCTGTTCCGTGAGTTTAGGAGTGACCTGAACACCAGCTAATATATTAAAAGCCTCATTCATTTCCTGTCAATTTAAAACTAATTTGTACCAGCAGCCCTTAGAGCATTAAATATTTAGAGGACAAAAGTCCTCTAAATATCCTGGCTTGAATGTAGKTTTTTTTATTATTATATATTCAGGTCAGAATTTTACAACTTTTACAACCACAAACAAGGTTATTGCACTTTGATTTTATTGTTTGTTCTGCTGCTAACCATAACAAGATTTCCTGTCTTTCTTTCGCTGTCTGCACAAACATGTCTAATGTATATTTGATATAAAAGCGTTTACACCACGCTGTTTAGACATCCTTAAATGTACATAAACGTTCCGAGTCGTCCTAATCGGTAAAACTCCAGCTCTGACTGATCCTTGCTCAGCCTGTAAGTCCCTGTAAGCTATACACTAAGTGAGGGGAAACAAACACAGCGTTGAGAGAGGGATTTAAGGAAGGAGTGATGAGTGTCGCTGACAATCACTGAGAGACTTATCAGCCTGTATCAGAGGTGATAGCTGTATGAAACATTACATTTACAAAGTCTTTCAGGAGGATTTACGTCATAAGGCTGTAACTCTTTGATTGTAAGAATCTAATAAAGTGAGAAGTTCTGATGTAGGCTGGARGTCACCAGAACCCAGCCAACTGTCTCCATTAAAGATCAACTTAAAATCCTGAGGCAACAAATTAACTAAAAGACCAAAAACAGGAAAACCAACTMGTGTGTTTAAGTGTTTGCAGACGACTTAGTGGTTTTATCAGCTATAATCCATCAAAACAGCYAGTGATTTTGTAACAAAGACTCAGACTTTTTAATAATAAAAGATCTTTAATCAATAACTCCCATTTGCAAAAACAGGTAGAAACGTTGGAAGACACTGCATATATACACTGTTTGCTACCTTGCAGCTACCTCCATGAGATAAGCAAGTCAGTCCTTTTAAAGAAATCTTTTAAAAAGATACTTAGAAAAAAAACRCCATTTTTAAAATGTCGGGAAAACAAGGAAGCCTTCAAAATTACAGTCTTTAAATTATAGACTTTTGTCTTTTACAATAAATACAAAACATCAAACGTGTATTGACATCAGCACACATAAGAACAAAAAAGTAAAACCCCACATCATCAGTGATACTGTGTACTTTTTATGCGTGTCGACTCAAAAAAAAAACCTGTCTGGGTACACTGGACTTCAAAACAAAACTGTTCCCAGTAGTGCAATTAAAAAGCTTCTATAGTAGCTTTACAGAACTGAGACTAACGTCGAGTAAATTTGGTGCGTTCAATCGATTTGTGCAAAAATTCTGACAAAGTTTGAAGACTAAAAAAACAAAAGAAATGTAGGACTGAAATGGTGATCCTACCTAATCCCATCTGTACAACACTTTGATGGAAACTGTATAAACTTGTCTATTGTGCTTTTTAAAAGAGAAATTAAAGTTAAACTTCTTTAAAAATATAAAGTGTCACTTTTATCTTGTTTGTAAAAACCTTCAAGCTATGTTTTGGAAAAATGCAGTTCCTTTAAAGGAAAACATCAACCGGTAACTCAAAAGCCAACGTTTTCAACAAAGTTGTTATAATCTGCTAATTTTCAGAGTATGTGTTGGGAAGGATTGTCAGCTACTGCCATACCAATATTTACCCCAATATCTGTAACATTGACTACTTGGAGTGAAAACCCAATCATTTGTAGAGAAACTGCATCTACTGATTGAGTTTTGGTGTCAACCCATTCAAGATGGCCACTACAACTCAATCCATGGACATCAAGCTAACAGTTGGTATGCTAGTAGTAGAGTTATCCGCAACACAATCTAAGGACTAACAGTTTATATATCTTTGTTCAAAACTTGGGCCAAAGTTTTATGCATTCCTTCAAAGAATGATTGTTTCGTTTGATATGCTCTCTTCACTTTCCTTTGACCAAGCATAAGATTAAAGTCTTGCTAACCATGGCAATCTGTTTCTAGAAACCAAGCAAAAATCTTCCCAATCAAACTGGTCTTTAAGTTCTCTCTGACCTCTACACCTGTTCTTTTGAATAAACCCAACAGTAGATTTAGGTCATATGTATAAAACTGTTTTTACAGTAAAAGTGTTTGTTTCTCCCAAAATGTGTTTGGAACTAGCAAACAAAATGTGTACCTTTTTTAAAAACAATATTTTCTGTCCGTAAACTGGACTGAAAGTCATCTTTTTTTATGATTGTCATACCAACGCTTGAACCTGAGCCTTTTTAGAAACTTTTTGATTAAATGTAAAAAAAGTACTTGACATCCTGGGAGTTTTGCTATCTAAAGTTTTCTTGTAATGCTGGTGCATGTGTATGAAAATAAAGAATTTTAAGGCCTAGTCCACACGGGAATAGTTTGTTTTCCCCCAAAAAATCATTTTGTTTGTAGTTTCTATAAACTATTTTTGTAATTACAGCATTGTTTCTACAAATGAAATCCTGAAAACAACCCAAAAGTGCTGTAGCGACTATGCCAGGCCTGTATGTGATGCAGTAACGCTTCCACAAAAGTTCAACAGGAAACAAGACGTCGAGAATGCAGATAAAATATACACATCTGTTAGAAATCAGTTTGTTTTGAACCGTAAACACAAGAAGAAGAAAGGGACAAGGATGATGAGTTTTGTGGACTGAGGACGCATTTAACTACTGACTGAGAGTTATGTCGGTCCAAATATGAAAATACAATGGACAATTTTACTCCGTAGTGTTAACAGTTTGATGAAGTGATAAAAACCTTTTTAACCTCTAGATTATTTAGTGTATTTTTATGGTTGTTGTTTATCAGCTTTGTTTATTGACAGTACAGTTTTGCTGTAATTGACAAACTACCATCAAATACAAGYGTGTAATCTGTCACTGTAGTTACTGTTGTGTCTGTCACGATTGGGGTCAGACGTTAGGTTAGTCTTTGACAGTTTTTAAAAAGTTGTTTTGTTGTCCAAATTAAAACATAATGATGGCTTTTCCGGATATTTTTCCACTTAGACACAAGGCTAAACCTATAATTAAATTTATTCCCAAATATTATTCCCATAGTGGACGAGGCCTAATGCACAGATCTGTTTGTGTAATTGTGTGATTKTGATCACTTTCACTGCATATAGGAGTAGGGGCTTGACTTGTGGTGGCCTGTGCTCATCCCACAAGGCATAACGTTCCTTGGACCGGTCATCATGGACTGGTTGATGTCGTGACCATTCTCAGACCAAGGCGGGGAGTCCATGGGCTCCCGTTTAATTGAATGGACCAGGCCGTGACCTTTGAATTCGTAATGCTTATTATAGTCCGGTTGCATATAGGCCTTGTGCGAGTAGACATTAGAGTCCATGAGGTTGACCGATTGGTTGTTGCATAGGGAGTCTGAGTGAGAGAGTTTCTGGGAGCTGAACTGGCTGGAGTCGCCGTTGCCCCCCAAGTCTTTGCCACACTTTGGCAGGCGCGTGGCGTTGACCCCGCTGTTGTTGACTGCATAGTTTGGGTAGCTGCCGTTGTACGGCGGGCTAATTCCTGCTTTTCCTCGCTGACAGGGTGAGTACTGTGGGTCGTAATATTCTGCCTCTGATTTGAGCTGCAAGCCAGAGCTCGGGTCGTACATCCCGTTACTGTAACGACGGTCGACTGCCCAGTTTTGTCCGTACGTGTCGCACCCGTTCTCCGAGTCGGAGTCGTGCTCCACCTTGATAGGTTGCATGTCGGGCATTAGGTGGCCGTCGTAGCATTCTCCGTAGTCGTTCTCGCACTTCACCAGGTCCACGCAGAAGAAATCTGGGTCTGTCGGGATCTGGACGTTCCCGTAGAGCTTGGAGACGAACACCTCGTCCCTTCTGCGGTAAGGCTTCCCGTACTGGCCAGTCCTGTTCAARCGGGTGGAGGGGTTGTAGCCGACCTCCTGAGCCGCTCTGACGAGACCCAAGTTCTGTCTTGGGGGCCACCCACCTGCCATGCCAGACCCGACACCTTTATGGACGGCCATGGAGGACTTGCAGTAGTTGAGGGGCTCTTCCTGGTTGTAGTAGCCGTCAGGACGGTACTTGAGGTTGTCTTTGCAGAGAGAAGTCCAGGGGGTGTGGTGGCCTCGCTGGGCATTGGAAAAAGGTGGATCTGTGATGTCACTCATTCCTCCATTGATGGAGTGTCTCCTCAGGTGTTCTCCACGCTCACTGAGGAATGGAAAAGAGATGAGAGGATGGATCAGCATTTAGTCCAAAATAAATCAATGAAGTCTCTATGTTCTCTCATTCGATTCTCCTAAAGCATTTTGTGTGTGCAAAGCTTGACAWCTCTTATATTGAAAAATTGCTATCCCTTGTTTGTTTCTCATTGGACTTTTGCTTTTGCAACCAAGCACCCTTTGTTTTATTCAAGTAGCAGATGGATCAGTCAACCCATTAGAGTGGACTCAGGGAGGCCTTCTGTCCAAGTTTTTGTGTTTTTCATAGTGAAAGACAAATGACTCAAAGCATAAATATTTTTGGTTTGGTTCATTTTGATACACAAAGGAAAAATGTCAACACTGACTCATCTTTTCTTGGATGGGTCCCATTTGAACATTGGGAACAGGCCCATGGTGGATGGGATCCCAAACCGCAAAACTCAGTGATGGTCCACATATTGTTTGTTAGCAGTACAATACAAAATAATTTATTTTAGGGACTTCAGAGGCCACTCTTTAAATGTACAGTGTTTGAAAAGTTCTGAATATTGRTTAGAATGGTTAACGTTGTTGCAAGAAGCTTGTTGCTCTGAATTTTGGCAGCTCCTTCCTGTTCAGAGTTAGCATGTTCTCAGTCAGAATCTTGCATCCTGTCCAATTTGGTCACAACCAATGAAAATCTAAAGGGATAGTGGTTATGGCTGACCAAACGAGTGACAAAGATGAAATACTTTAGGTTTCATCTTACCCACAATCCATAATCCCTCCTCCTTTGTTTTTGCCCCGCATTAAGATATTTTTCACTTTCATCTCAGTGACTGAGGGCAGTAAGAGAGGTACAGCGACGCAGAAAAGGGCGAGCTGAGAGGGAACTTGTGCCCCCAAGGCAGACTTCTTCTTCTGCCCGTGGAGGAACTTCAACCGACCTTGAAACTGCATGGTCTGAAATACAAAACACCAATCGTTCACTGGATCAGAATATGTTTGAATAAACTGTAAATATTTATTACGTTTAGCCAAAAGGCTATAGGCGGGTGAAGACGTTTTCTCTCAACTACTACAACACAATTATTTTTAGCACAATATCTGTAATACCAGCAGAGCTATAGCTGTTTATGTGTTGGCTAATTACCTGTGATGGACATTTTAAACTGGTTTGRCTCGATGAGGCAATCAGATATAAAGATTAAAATGAGAGTTTTCTGAGCTGGACTGGACCACTCACCAAGAATCCAGAGGTGCTGTCCAGGAGACATCGGACTCTGGTGATAAAACATCTGTTGAGGAAGCAGGAGAGCTCAGGAGAAACCTCTCCTGCTTCTGGAGAGTTAAACATGCTGCTCAGCACAAAGTCATCACCTGAAACATAATGAATAGTATAAATATGAGCATAGGTAGGCATGTGAAGTTTTAAGCTCCTCCCACTATCAAGAAATAACTACTTACACCTAAAATCATTAGGAAATAAACATTTGAACTTAACAGCAACAAGATATGAACTCTGAATTAGCCTGAAAAATGATTATTATTATTTTTATTATATTTTGTTTTACCAACAGCAATATCCTGTTGGTTTACATAAAGGGGCAGAGCTTAAAACTTGTCCTGAAACCAGCAGACAGGGAATCACCTCAGAGGTCTATGCACAGTCTTTGGTGAAGACTCACCCGTTCCTGCAGCTAGTTGGCTCTCCGGTGGTCCAGAACCCCCCTGGTGTTGTGGAGGACACATGGCCCAGTGCAGCTGGTGTCTGAACTCCTGCCGGTCATCTATGTGGATGTAGTCGAAGATGTTCTGGTGCATCACATCAGTCTGAGGGAAGGAGTTTTGTTCAGTTAATATGGCTGAAATAATTTTAATCAACGGATTTGGTTTTAGATCATCACATCATTGTATGACTTGAACTCACTCCAGTTTGCTGATACTGAGCTAAAGTTCGATGTGGTAGTAGCTGAGAGTCATCCTCAACACATCCTGCGTAACRTCATTTACAAGTTTGACCAGAACACACAGAACTCCATCCCATTTATATTAGAACTCTGGAATAAATGACTATTTAATTCTTCAAGGTGATCTTGTTCAAAGAACTATCTACAACAGGTAAGATATTAACTGTTCATAACCTTTCAAACGTACATGTACATTTATGTACATTGACATTCTTGTGTGTGTGTGTGTGTGTGTGTGTGTGTGTGTGTGTGTGTGTGTGTGTGTGTGTGTGTGTGTGTGTGT